AAAAATAAATGTGAAAATGGTGCACATTGCAATCGTATTGGATCCTACTTATTTTGTGACTGTCCTCCAGGATATTTTGGACATCGATGTGAAAAATTCAAAGGTGAGAAAAATTGAGCTGATGTAAAATATATATTGTAAAGAAAGTGCGGAAGCATCTATGTTTTAAAATTTGCATATACAAAGGTGACTTAATATATGGCAACATAGTTAGGTTAAGTAAAATTAATACATATTTTATATTTTAATTCATATCATTATGCATTTCATAATTTAACGAGAAGTATGTAAACAAAAACAAGTAACCCGAAAAGAACCCCTTTTTTTAAAAAAAATTTATGTAAAAAACTCATTTACTTAAAAAATGAATGAAAGTGGAGCAGGTAAACTTATTTCGAACACTCAAAAATGGGTGCCAAATTCTGAAGACTGATCAAAAAATGATAAAAGCAAGTGAGATTTGAAACAGAAAATGTAAAATAGTCGTCAAAAGCAATTTTATTTTATTTTATAACCGTCGCTATACATCCGACCCAATGTTTTGAGTTTACGACTATCATTGTTCAACTCCAAAGCCTTGTAATTTTGAACCCAATCCAGAAAATAAGGGAACTTCTGGATCAAGTAGTGGCAGAAATTTGCCATGGTGGGGGACTTTTAGATGAAACTAAACCGCATTTGCGTTACACGGAGAGGAAAGCCACCAAAACTCCCACGGTTAGCCGGATGGTAAGGGGGCTGTAACCCGTGATTCGTCTACCACTGAGGATATTTTACGCCATCACTGTGGGTGGTGCGAGTCGGGAGCAGAACATTGAAAGCAATTGAAAATTAATTTAACTATAAAAACAAAAATAGAAAAACCACAGCGGCCAATAGAGGCAAATCAGGACAGGATAACATTTCCCACGCGCTATGGAGAGATAAAGAGGAACTTATGTGGTTTGCAATAGAATCAGCATTCATATAAATTGAAAATTTCACGACATTTTAATCGAAAAAAAATTCTTTATTCGCCAAATTTTACGATAGTTGCTACAAGCTTTTTTGAAAAAAATCATGTTCACACAAAAATACAAAAACTACGTTTAACCATTGAATTAAAATTGAAAAAAATGCTTCTGCTTTTGCTGTATCTGAAATGAAAAAAAAACTTTCAATATAATTTTTTTACAAAAAATTTATGTGTATTTTCTAGATAAAGGTGAATACAGTCCAATATTATTCATATTACTATGCATCACATCTGGATTTCTTTTGATATCTACAATCACTCTAGTCACTGTTTTCATAAAGTAAGTAGTAGTTTGAAGAAATGTTTGTTTGGAGCAGAGTGTCCCATAATGGCTGCTCTTAATATAGATTCTAATATAGAATCTTCATGAAAAATGAAGCAGTAAGCACATTAGAAATCACGAGGTAGCATTTAGTAATACATATTGAACATTTTTCCAAATTCCATTTCATAACTATTAAAGTTTAGATGAGAAAAGATGTGAATTGTTATAAATCTGTCAATGGTTACTTAATTTCCTAATTTCTGATCTAAATTACTAGTTATATAATACCTAAAATTACCTAAATACACGTGAATTTCGAAAATAATTTTTAAATAAAATTATTTGCATTTAATTTCGATTTTCGGCTTTTTCGATTAGTAATAAAATGATATAGTTCTGATTGATTTCCATAAAAGTATGTTTTTTATACATGTACGCAAAATTTACAATTATTTTTAACACTGTACCGATAACTTCATGTTTATTACTTTTGGTCATATTTAATGATACATTTAAATTTATATTATATTTAATTATATCATGTATTTAAATTAAGCAATTGATATATTTAATGCTGTAGAGACTTAGGTAATTTTCTTACAAAAACTATTTTTGATACATTATTATAATACTTCATCTTACTGAAAACAACATTTGTGCTTATAGAAACCCATTTAAAAAATTCACTGAACTATAAAAAAAAAAAAAAAAAAAAAAAAAAAGATACAGCTTGAAGACTGTGCTGGTTTGGCCGATTCCCCTACAGATGTTTGAAGGTCTAAGAGCTACAAAATTATTGCATTTTGTGAATTGCAGTAATCTTGTAATTGAACAAAACTTAAAAGTCCTACAGTAAATATGAAGTTAATAATTCTACAGTCAAAATTATACAGTGCACAATAGTACCATACAGTAATTACACAGCGTATTTACTCACTAAGCATGCAGTCAAAATTTAGTTGCAAGGAAATTAGAGTTTGGAAATGTTTGGCTTGCTGTTAGATAATGGACATTGGAGTTAGGTTCGGGTTAAGTTTTGTCAAATTAACCGTGGAACGGGTGAATTAATAGGTTTATCTGGGGTACCATCTATCTTGAGAAAAGGGAAATACTAGAGTCTTTTGTGTTGAGCATTTCTGATGCTTCGATCTGTCCGTGAATGAGGGTTCGCATTCCAATAGTCCAGGGTAACCAATTGGAGAGCACATGACAATATAAACTCTTCATTTGTTAAAGGAACATAATAAATATTGTATTCTAAAGTCTGAAGTTCCAACTACCGTTCAGCCGGTTATGAGACTAACAGATTAGTCCTCTCGGTCGTAGTTTGCATCCAGGGGCAATGTACTAAGTGGCATCATAAGGATCACCTTGTTGACGCAGATAAAATTCTAGTTCGTAATCTAATCGTAATAGATTTTCTCAGAGTTACCAGTTTCGATTCCCTTTTCTTGCTGTGGTTATTTGAGTGCTTTCGTTTAATATGGAAAAATAAAAAAAGAATTGTTACTTAACTATTATTTCCGAGTAAGTCCCTTAAGTCAAAGATAAATAAATAAATAAATAATAAGCTAATGAAAATAAATTTAGTTTTTAATCTAGTAGGATGTAATATTTAGTTTAGTAAGTAATATTTTACCTCTTTGGTTACTTGGGATTATTTACTTAAATATACTATTTTCGATAAAATAGCTTTTCTATTAACAAGTCTTCTACACATATGCTACTTATAGCTATAAAAGGAAATAAGTAGTAATAACAAGAAAACTAAGACAGCAACATTTAAAGAAGGAGTCACACAACATTGCATCATATACTAATTATTATATTTATGAAATATTTAACGAGGAAGTTTTATTATTAAATAAATTTTTCTTTCTTTTAAAAAAATAATGAAGTGAAAAAGTTATTCTTGAATTATTCGTTTGAAAAAGAGTGATTGAGTAGAGAATTTTATATATTTTTACTGATAGATGCAATTTAACTGATAGATGCAATATAGGACTTGTGTTGGTATATGAAATTCTGTTTTCTACTCATTTGGAAATTTCAAATGTAAAAATGAGTTTTTTTTTGTTTCAGATTTAGAAGCAGAAGAAATAAGTTATAAAAGAAAATATTTATTGTCTCTCTCAAATCATGTATGTAATTTAAATAAAATGTGTTTTTACTCTGAAAATAATGGCATTTATTGAATGATATATGATAATAATAAGTTATTTAAACATTAAACGCGAATTTACGTGCATTGCTTAGTCGTAAATATCGGTGAAATAAAAAAAAACCTGAACAATGTTTGAGCACAAAAGAGATAATATTGCGTCTGTAATTATATAAATTGTTTTAACAACTTCAGTTATGCAATCGCAAAAATAAACGTACAGTGCTCAAAATAAGTTTTGATCCTGGATAATCCTTAATAAGCTTTGATCTAATGATCCGATCTTCATGTTCTAGGACTCGATCTTAAGCATTTGTGGGCGTTATTTCAAATATACTAATTAATTAGTGCTGACGATATTTTAAGTTACGAAATCAGGCAAAAAAACATACTTTCATTTAAGTAACAGGTTCGGATAAACAGATTCGTCAGATTTTAATTTCTGACCCCCAAAATATGGGGGATAGCCGCAATCTGGAAAATATGGTCCAAATAGCTTAGTCAGGAGAGCTGTCCAAATTTCGACCTCATAATGTTAATTTGAATCTTTGAGAATAGAAAAATTTTTGCTGGCAATTATAAAATTCATCCATCTAAAAGTAATTCCATGCAAATATTTAATATTTTATTCATATTTAGTATTTTTTTATTTATAGTAGAAAATTTTTTGAATTGTACGGTATTTATATTTATTACCGTCGTTGAACATGCAACTGAATTTTTGGATTACGACTTCTAATGCTCAACTCCGTGGCCTTGTAATTTTGAACAAAATCCAGAAGACAAGGAAACTCCTGAATCAAGTATTGGGAGAAATTTGCCTCCGTGGAGGACTTTTTGATGAAATTAACCAGCATTTTCTTTGCATGGAGAAGAATGCCACGAAATCCTCCCACGGTTACCCTGATGGTAAGGAGACTCTAACCCATGATTCATCGACAACTGAGGATATTTCGCATCAGCTTTGTGGTCTGTGCAAGCCGGATGCGGAATTCCTATGAACCATCGCTGGGATTCAAACCCGGTTCACCTCAGTGGAAGGAGAACGCTCTATCCCCTGAGTCATCACGGCTTTGAATTGTAAGGCGTATAATTTTCATATTAAAATACACACATGCGCATTTCACATATACAAAAATTAATATTAACATTCAGGTGTCCGAACTTCGGACCGCTCTCCTGACCAAGCTTATGGGACCATATTTCCCAGATTTGCTGCTACATCCAATATTTTAGGCTCAGAAATCCGATTGTTTTTTTTAAAAAAAAATGTTTAAAAAAATTACTTTTAAAAAGTTTATTTTTATTTAGAGAAAGTGCGTTTGTGTGTCTGTTCTTATGATGAGTTCTGGTCGTTTTGTGATGAGTGATTTAAAAAGCCAGTAGGGGATAGAGACAAGTTTGTTCCCTCTCTTATTGGTTTTAGGTCTTCTTCTAAATTTAACATGGTTTTTCGAAGCTCTTTCGTCAAGAATAATAAAAAAAGAGACAGCTTAAGTGCCTAAGCAAAGCTGCAATTTTAAACTGTATCATTTTGTAAAGAATTATCTGATCTTTAGGAGGGACAGATGACTAAAATTGGCGCCTATTTAGCTATAATTTTCCACCTAGATGAAAATCATCAAAATCATTGCCTTATTTCCATTTCTTGCAAAGTTTTATGAGCCGAGGTAGTACAGTATTGAAAAAGTTTTTTAATATTAAAAAAATTAGACCTCAAGCGCTTTTCATTTCTTCAAAACTTTGGCCTTAATTTATATTGACTTTTTGCACCATTTTCAGAATAAACATAAAGTTTGCTGGCTAAAGATAGGCTAAACTTGACCAGAGCTTTCAAAAAACAGCCCTCGTCACATCTCACAATGATTTTTTCGCAACTAATATTCTATTTTTATCATTGTTTGATGACTACAACAGTTGTTCATGACTGTATTACCACGTTTAGATTATCCTTTTTAGCCAGCGTTACGTATGCTATTTATGAAAAAGGTGCAAAGCATTGTTAAGAAGAAAAACTACAGTTTTGTGAAAATGAGAAGCCTTTAAGATTTAATCGCTTCATATTTTAAAAGTTGTTTCAACGCTGCATTATCTGAGTTCAAAAAAATCTGCTGTAGCTGAAATATTTCGGGGAATTTGAGTTTTTATTTAGGTAGAAGAATCTCGCTAAAGTTACGAATTTTTAAAAAAAGTTAAATAACTTTAAAATATTTAAGAAATATTTACGATCTAAAGCCCAGATAACTCTTTACAGAAAGATGGTATGTAAAATTTGAAGTTATACCTTAGTATTGACTGTAAGGCTTCTAATTCATGGCTTTTTATTTTTCTTGTTAAAATTGGCGCGACCTGTTCAAAAGTAATAAGAAAAGAGTTAACAAATGGATGTGTCAGGGGTAGGGTGAAATTAATTTTTAAAATTAGTATTGGACACTAAATAAGTCAATGTTTCTTTATAATATCTGAGTACATAATAGAACATTACCAAAACTGCAAATCGTGCATTTGTACGTTAGAAACTATCAGTTTCTTTGATTATTTTTCAATTTAAAGTGTTTTACATATATATATATATATATATATATATACCCCGAAGATCTATTACATTATGACCACCCTCCATCTATAACAATAGTCTCTCCCAGGTTTTCATGATTTCTTGCCCAGGAACAATGTTTTCATGGGGCACATTAGGACCCATAATCCTCATAGAACAATCGTTGACGTCTGTAAGCTACTTGAACATAGTTGCAGAACAGGTTCACCCAATCATGGCAACAGTTTTTCCTACGGGGGATGGTGTTTACCAACAGGATAATGCACCATGTCATAAGGATCGAATCGTTATGGATTGGTTCGAGGAACTTTCCAGTGACTTTCGAGTCATGTCTTTGCCCCCAAATTCACCTGACCTTAATCCAATAGAACATTTGTGGTCCTACTTGGAAAACCAAATTCGTGCTGCCACGCTACACCCTCGCGATGTGAGGGAATTGCAGGACCAGTTGGCGAGCGCTTGGTACCAGATACCTCAGACTACCTATCAGCACCTTGTGGAATCAATGCCACGGCAGTTAAATGGTTTTAATTTTTCTACAACTAAGACAANCCCATCCAATGCACGTTCATCACTTATATATATGTATGTATATAAGGAAAATAATTGAAGGAATGTTTTTTAATAAGAGCATTAAAGCAATATCCCCCTATGTTAATCTCTGTTTTTTTATGAATCCATAACTTTTATCTGAAATTCCGGTAAACACCTTTCATTTTAAAAGAAATAAACAATTTGTATTAAGATCTGATGTAAGCAAATAATCATCTTTAACTTCTACTGCTTGATAAAGTTCAAGTCGCATCCCACCTTTTATAATTGATAACCAAACTGTTTTATCATATCCTGTTTCACTAGAAAAAGAAGTACCTCACATTATTTATAATCTGCCTTTTCAAGGTTAACAATAAAAAACACTTATGGATCTGTGAAGATTTCTGAGAACCTGATTCAAAATAATGGATAAAATATAGCTACTTAATCAGAACCAGCGCAACCTGGTAGAATACAAGAAATCTCTCTTCATATGTTAAAAAGGATAAAAAGTGAAGTAAATAAGGTGAAAAAGTGAATTATGAAGTTGTATATCATTGATATAATTTGATATCTCCATGGATCTATTGATACTAAATTCTAAGATGGTGTTCTAAGATGAGAATGCTTAAGCGCACATTCCTCCCCCCCCCCGAAAATATCCACATAGTGACGTAATGAGACAATATTGGAAACATCCCGGTTAAAAGAGAGGTTTTTGCAGTATGGGGCAAATAAATTGCATCTGATGATATTGAGCATTAAGAGCATGGTCAATAAAGATAATGTGAATGCTGTGTTTGTAATCAGTTATATTCTGATATCAGTTACATTTAGCTCTGCTTAGATTTATTTTCATCTTTCTTTTAAGAATTTCGAATCCTGATAAGATAATGTAAGCTTAGGTTTCTCAAGTACTTTAATATTTTTCCCTATCAGTTTTTTTAAAGATTTTCTTAAGCGCTTCTCCGCAATTTTATTAAAGGTTTATTTCGTAAGAAATGTTTTTTGTTTCAATATAATGACTAAAATATTAACATATTTACTGTTCTCTACTTGCTTCATTTATGGTGTTTATTCCTTTAGCGTAGAATTTAGCAACGAAAAAGGTGAGTTTGAAAATTTAATGCTTATTTAACTAAAGAAGATCGGTTTTTCTCTTTCTAATTAGTTTTTCTGCATAGCATTAGCGTATACTTGTCTAAATTCATTTCTAAAAAAGTAATGGAGCATTTAAATTTTTTTCTCCAATGTTCGCTTTTTTCGGTAGCATATAACCTCGTGGTACATAACGGGTGGTATTTTTACATCTTTGTCGTGGGCACCTTATAGGTGGATCAACATCACCCAAACGGGAGGCAAAGTTACTCGCGTCCGTAGCATCCCTAAAGCTACACGTGCCTCCTGGGTGGTGCTAAATGAGTGACAGCTTTGCAGCCGAGATCTCTTTGTTTCGATTTTGATCTTCTGATTGATTTTAATCTACACATCAACAAATATATCATTGCTAAAAGAACGGACAAAAGAGAAATTGTGGAGAAATGACATCCTTAATCTCCTTGATTGCCCAAGAAGCAGTGCTGTATCTGCCTTTCGTCTTGCTACCAAGCACGATTGCTTATACGCTAATCTTTTCCGTCTTAAAATAGTGGACAATCCTGCCTGTCCCATCTATCACAGTGGTGCGACGATGAATGCTGAACATCTCACAAAGAACTGCATCTACTCCCGATACTGGGAGGCCAGAGAACTTTTGTTCAATTTAAATTCTTGATTTAATTTTTTTGTTGAGGTTTTGTTTTTGTATTTTGTATATCTCATCTCTTTCTGTATTTGTATTTTTCTTTTGATCTCTGTACTGCGTTAAGATAATGTCAGTATCGCCTGCTGCATTGAAATGAAAAAAAAAGTCACCCAAACTCAAGGGAAGGTAGAACAAAGAGAGAAAGAGAAACAAACCAAAATCTTGATATCTGTGGCAAAAATGTTTATTTGTTGTACCCTATACAAATTCCATTAAAATTAATAAAATTCAAACAAGATTGTATTAAAATTAATACAATTTAGACAATGTTATTTAAAAATTAATAAGATCTAAACAATATTTAATTAAAATTAATAAAACTTAAATATAATTCCATTCAGTCATCTAAAAATTAAACATTATTGTATTAAAATCAAACTGTGTTTTATGAAAAGTAATTTTTATCAATATATATTTATCAATATTTTGGAAGAAAAAAAACTGAAAAGCTTATCAACGATTAAAAATAATGTCTAGTTCAATGTAAAATGAAATTAAGCAATAACGCAGTTATGTATGAGCAACTAAGTAGAATTATTTACAACTATTCGCGACGAAATATTCTTCCCCAATTTAGTGAAAGTAGATAAAATAAGATCGTCTAGTATTTAAGAAAGCATCATTTATTGGTTACTTCGATTACGAATTATGACATCGTTTTAATAATAATTTCATGGAAGAATATCAGAAGTGTCCCAGTAACTTTAATTTTTCTTTTTTGAAGTGATGTGAACTCATCAACATGAAAATAGAATGCTTCAGAAATATTTTTTCCTCTATGGTAGGGGGCAGTATTTCCAGAGTTTTTTTCAGCTTCAGGTAAAAGATTTGCTTCCAGCGAAAAATTCGTTCGCAAGTGGTGGTAGTTGTTCTGCTTTTGGATTCACTATGCGGCAAAGCACTACTTTGCTATCTGAGATGAAGGTATTTTAATTCCCTAAAAATCTATCTCACCGAATTGGATCTATGGATATTTTTAATTTATGTTTTACGTATAAAATCTATGGATATTTTTTTAAAGAGGAAAGACTAGAAAAAAGGAAGAGTCGCGTTCTGTTATGGCGCCAAAGATTTCTTGTGAAATTTGTTTGCTATTTCTGGATAGACGGTGAATAACATTAACTACATTACTAGTCAATAAGCGGAAATGGTAGGCAGATCCCGTACTTGTTATTGTCATTAACCAAACAGTGAGCTTCCGTACCTATAGGCACGGTACTTTTATACACTTTGTTTGAAATACTAATGCAATGTAGCCCTCCCATCCAATGCACGTTCATCACTGAGCTTATAATAGCATATAGCATAACAGATAAAAAATAATTAAAGAACTTTAAATGAATTCTTTTTTGATTGCACAAAGATGTAAGCTAGCAAAACATTGAGTAAAATTTTTTAAATGTTTGAAAAGGAAAAATCGCCAAGAAAAATAAGAGCAACCGTGAACGTAACCTTCATGCTATCCTCAACTCCAAAGGCTATTTCACAGTTCGAAGTTACCGATAGGGTTGCTCGATTGCTCACACGCTTACTCGTACCATTTTTCATTATTTATCTTACCTTTTAGCTAATATTTAATATTTTTGAGAGATGTTATTATCTCATAGTTTTTCAACGCTGTTTGTAATGGGAGGAAAAGAAAATCACAGAGGTTATAGAATTGATATGAGTTTAATTTTGTGCATTTTGAAAAAGTCTTTATTTATCTGCAAATAAAAATTCTGTGATAAAAATGCTTCCACATTGGTGGAGCAGCATAGTATAAAAAGGATTTCTTACTCATAGTATGAAAATAATATCAATGTATTTCATATTGCATTTTAAAAGTATAAGGGGGATAGACTTAAATACTATATAGTACTTTTACGATTTTTTATACGCTGAATCGAGTGACAAATATTATCGAAGTTATTTATGTTTTATGTTTAAAAGTACAGTTTTTTATTTATACCTATTTACGAATCTATCATTGCTAACTAGGCAAGTGAGGTATCTTTAACTATGTATATCATTACGTTAAGTCAAATGAGAATAAAACTAAGCTGTCTGATTTAATAGTTTAGGAATTCAAAAATTTAAAAAGGTTTTATGTGATGACAACTGACATTGCTATCTAGAGAAGTGAGGCATTTTTTCAAATTTAATTTTTTACGCTTAATCCAATAAAAGAGTTATTTTCAATAAATTCTTTAGGAGAAATGAGGGTTTAATGTATGAAATATATGATTTTCGACTTACTTTTTACTCATAAAATATTTATAACAAAGATATTAGATCTATCAAATCAATTCAATTTTTTAAATTTACTCTGAAAAAAGCATTATAAATAATACCTCCCACAGTAATGTCTCAAAACTTTTATTGTCATCAGGTTCATTTACAATGCATTAACTGCAATTATTATAAGGAACATCACTTTTACGAAATACCAATTTTTTAAAGAAAAAATTGTTTTTAAATACAAGAGAATTGATTTTCATGAATTCACTGTAATACTTACAATTTATAATTGTAAAATTTAAAACATTCAATATTGGTATATGATCCACTTAAACATTCACACAATTGGTATAATATAATTTAATTAAAAATTACAAGATTTATTTTAGGACGAATTCATTGTAACATATACTATATAAATTCAAATTTATTAATAACTGAAAGAAAAACAACAACTGTATTTTATAAAGAGCATACTTTTTATGTACCCTATTATTTTTGTTATAGGTTTTAAATGTGCTTTGCATTTTAAATAATACAAGAATTAATTTAAAAAATAAAACATTTAATATCAAGTGCAACGTTTAGAACATTATTCATTTACATTTTCAATATTTATTAAAGGTTCAATCATAAAAGCAATATTACATCTCTTTACTTCTATAGCAGACAAACCTTACATGGTTCCACAAAATATCTGAAATAAAAGGAAAAAAATCCCTATGATAAAATTTTACCAACACATTATTAGAATAAGGGTGAATAATTTAAGCGACTTTATCACATTAGCCAGTCATTATTAATAATAACCAATGAAGTTTGATCAATGTCATTTTTTCGCGTTTCTATAGGGGATATTTCCATATTGTGATCTGCCACGCCAACAACAATCGCCCAGGCGCTAAATTGATTTAAGCTGGAAAAATTAAAAAAAAGAAGAAAAAACAAAGATAAAACAGCAACAACAAAGCACGTAGATGTTAGCCTGGGGGTGGCTGCAAGTTATACCCTTCAAGATGGTCCCTTTCTGTGACGTTCTTCTTAGTTTGCTGGTAGTGGCAAAGACTTGGAGATTATTATGCCACAGACCACGATACGGAAATATCCACTTTTTATTAAACACTTTGACCAAAAGAAGCTGTTAATATTAATTTTGACTGGTTATTAATAATAACCGGATTTATCACTTTAACCGTAATGCATATACAAGAGGCACACCCATGTCCCAATGCTATATAAACCGTTTAAACACATTGACAAAATTTAATTGATTATTATTAATAAATACCGGTTAAAGTGAATAATTTGCGATATTTCTCACTTTGACAGAAAAATGTGGTTATTATTAATATTTACCAGTCAGTATTAATAATAACCAGATTTATTACTTCAACCGTAACATATACACTAATGAAAGGTGGGAGGTATATTTGGTTTTGCTACTTTTATGTTTGGATTGATATTAGTTTTGAAAAAATAAATTGTAGAAGGTGAAGAACAAGTCGGTTTTAGAAGTATTGCAGGAAGAATTCGCAAATATTTACTTTAAAGAAATTTATTGAACGAAGTCACAAATTTAACATTTCACTGTACATAAATTTTATTGATTTCCAGAAAGCTTTCAATTCTATTAATAGAGAGAAATTCTAGAATTATCGCTATTAATAGAATAGCTTAAAATTCAAATAGAATTGAATTAATAGAATTTGGAAAATTCTAGAGTAGTATGGCATTCTTAAACAGGGGTGACAGAATCATTGCTCTTAATTATAATTGATAGGAAAACGGAAAGTATATTCCACGACTGAAAGATAGTAATTCGATGGAACTTCACTACAACTTTTGAATGTCTGGATTTTGTGGATGACATTGTTTGATTTACCAGCAAATTTGATGATCTGCAATCTAAAACTATAAATTTTGAAAAATAGGCAGGAGATGTTGAATTGAAAATTAATAAAAATAAAAGTAACTTTTTTAAAATAAATAACAAGACTAAATGTGCAGCTAAATTTGAAAGTGGCGAAATAGAAGATGTAGAAAAATTTACTCAACTTCGTACAATTGTTGATTGAAAGGGATGAA